TTGTACGATATAATAGTGTCTTGTTTTTGGGGGTTCGTCGTTCACGTATTGTAGAGTCTTGTTTCGTTTGGCGTTTGTTTGTTCTCGTCTCTTTTCCTTGTATGATAGTGTCTTGTCTTGTTGGTTGGTACAGTATCTCTCTTGTATGATTGTTTCTTGTTTTTGGAGTTTCGTCCTTTCTCTTCCCTGCCCTGCATGACGGTGATTTGTTTCTCCTTTCGCTGTTGCCAGTCTTTTTTTCGCCCGAAGAGGATACGTGCGTTTGTGATGGATCGGGGAGCCCCTGTATTGTGGTGTAGACTATTGGTCGTGCGATGTAGCAGGATACAACAGGGGACGAGAGATCAGCTATTTTGCTCATTGCCCTCGAGTTTGCTTTGGGAGGGAGGAGGGGGGGAGAAAAGAAATCTCTGGGGGCGTATTATGGCTCGTGCTTTGGGATGGTTAAAGTACCACGTCTCAGTGGAGCAGGATGAGCACGATAGAAATACGAGTATTTTTAGGGAGTATCATTGTAGTACGATTTTTTTTAGTTTAATTGTATGCTCCTCCCTCGACAGCAGTTTCACGCTACGCCTGTACTTACTTACTTGGGCAGCCGTGTTTGTTCCGCCCGTCGTGCGAGAGAGAGAGAGATGAAGCTTCCACGAGCTTTGACCGCACGGTCCCCCCGAGAGCGTGCGGACAAAATAAACGTAGACAGCGGTCTGGACGAGTGGGGTGAGGACCGTAGGATGGGCGGGTGGCGCGCGGTGACTGACCTCTCTCCCACCACCGGGGGAAGAGGTCGATTCCGCGCACCACGGCATTTACTTCGTGGGTTATCACACAAATTTATCCCGCTTTTGCGACGGAGAGAACACGTGTTCTTTTTTTCCCCTCTTGGAACGAACGCCGGTGTTGGTGTTGATCGTACACTGCCAGGAGGGAGTATTGGTTGGGGTGGGAGGTGGGCTGGATTCTTCATCGTTTGTGAGTGGAAAGACTAGAGAGAGAGAGCCAGCCCCGCTGTGCCACTTTTTTTGTGGTGTGTTTGTCCGTCCCTTTTTTAATGGGTATTCCGCATTGTAAACTACCTGGTACTATTACGATTCCTTCGGCTCATGGTTGGGCGCGTTGTCGGAGGCGGGGGGATCGATACTCCCCGGTGAGCGATTGAAAGATGTTCGGTGTAGAAATACTATTATATGTGGCCCCTTCGGCTCTTATGCCGCGGAGGGGGTTATTTTTCGTATTTTTCGAGGCCCTTTGGTTGGAGGGAGGGGGGGGGAGGTAGGCGTCGACGTTATTGAGCGTTGACAGCACGGGAGCGTTGTTTGTGTCCCCTCAGCGTTACGGCAGGATGCAGTGATGGACGATGCGTAGGCCCTCGATTTTGATCTACGTTGTGTGGCGTTGCCAGAGGAGCGTTGTTTGGGTGCCCTCTCGTCCTCACGAGTGGATGCAGTGATGGTTGCGTGTTTTCAGTAGCTCTCATTTCGGTCTATACATGTAGGTGTGACTGGAAAATTGTTGTTGTTGTACCTGCCCTCATCCTCATTGACGGATGGATTCGGCGATTTGTTTGTTTGAACTACAGCACGTGTTTGTAACGTGTAGAGGGGGGGGGGGACATCAAAACCCGCCGTTCGTGCATGCGTCGTGTGGTTTCGCGTGTCGCAAACGGAGCGAGGATGGGGGGGGGGAGGGACGCAGCTATCTCCCCTGGGGAACCGAAAAAGGTTGGATTGATTTTCGGTGTCTGAGAGGAGCGACCAACTAGTCCTGGTCATTCTTTGCCCAAGATTTCATCGTAAAGGTTGCGTCTTTCCGTCTGTCCGCGGAAACGAGCGTGTGTTGCGTGTTCTGCTGGCTTGATGTGTGGTTTACTCGTCCTTATCTCTTGGGGAAATGAATGCTCTCGTTCATAAATTCTCGTTTGTTCTTCGTCTGTTTTGGGCAGACCTGAGTGTTTCGACAGCGCTGTTTGGCGTTCAGTGCGTCCTTCCTCCAGCTGCGGCCAAAGCGACAAAACGCGTACTCTCGAAATGCGGAATGTGCGGTCATCGTGCGTGTGTCCCGTCGGGGGTACCGTTTCGACCGTCCACGGAACGGAACCAAAACCACCGAGCGAACGTGTCGTTGCGGTGCGAGGGGTGGTCGGTGCTTGCATGTAGCAACAATCGATCGGGCACGTGCGAATGAGTCCAGGGGCTACACATGGTCTGACGGCCGCTATTTCGGTGTCGGTTCCTTGTTGTTGTGTGTCTTCCATGCTGTAGAATACCGAGCCTTTGGGCCTGACAGGATGTATGATGATGAGATTTTGCCGAGTGATAAAGTTGATTGCTTGCGCACAGATACACAGGGATCGGCTTTGGTGTGAGGTGATGGTGGTGTGCAGGCGAGTGACAGGGTCGGAGGGAGGAGAAGGAGAATCAAACCGGCCGGCGGTCAGCGGGCGACGCGACGATACGGGGATTGGTTGGTGCCTAGAGCCAATCGCCTTGCGTTCTCTGATGCTTGAAAGGTTTATCGATGTACTAAGGCGGGTTGTGTACGGTATTGGTATGATAAAAATAGTGTTGAAGCTCAATGTCAGTCGTCGTTTTGTGTTCGTTGCCAAGAAAGTACCTGTAGGAAATCACCTAACGAAGGGTTACTGCCGGTAGAGTCTTTGGTGTACCATTGAATCAGTGATCGGATCATTGTACACTGTACATACACACCCACGTACGAGTTGGTACACCGCACGAGTGATCTGTAGGATACCCTCGTAGTATTGCGAAAGGTCGGTTTGACCGTTTGTTGCCGTCATCAGCACGTTGCAATAGAGCCCGTGTGCTTTCTTTCTGGGATGAGGATGGATGGCTCGCCCCCACGGTGCTCGCCCCCACTCTCTCACTTTCTCTCTCTTTTCCTTACCTTCCGGCCAAGTAGTCTAATCGTCAATTCAAACCATCTATATCCATGCAATGGTCATTTGCCGGACACCAGCCAAGCAAGGTCCTACGCCAACAGGCTGTCAGCTCTCAGTACAGCACAGCACGGAGGAGCACTATCGTCTGCGTACACCAAACCGGTATATCCAGGATCATCGGCACAACGCTCTTGTCCTTCGGAGAAACCGCTGGCCAAGTACTTCTTACCCGGGACGCACGTTAGGACTTCGATCTACAGTAGTTCGTCGGCTTCATCCACGGCTCGTCCCAGATCGTCTTCTTCGCAATCAACGCGTTTGTTTGCTGTACACGCCATGCCGTCCGTACCCAACAGCAGTCGTGACCACCGGTGGGTATCTCTCAGCATCTTCGCGGAATTTTCTGTTTTTGAGAAGGGACAACTGTTCCATAGTTCGACGGGTTCACGCACACCGTCAGTCCGGCAGGTTCTTCAGAAACCCTCGCCAAGACCAAGGGATGGACGTATTTCCAAGCCGTTCGCCACGACATCGGCACTCAATCGTCAGTACCAAATAAATAGATAGGCGGTATCCATTTTCTCCCTCGTGACTTCGGCACAAAACTCGCGACACGCCTGTTTCACGTCTGTTACACGTGTGTGAGAACTTGATCATCTAGTCTACAGGAGTACTGAATACCGTAGTTCAGCGCGCACAATACCGTGGCGTCAACTCAAGTCAAGATGAACGAACAACAGAAAGCGGACGAAGCGACAAAATGGTAAGGCCTGCGGGCAAGTTCGGATGGCAGCACAGCAGTGGGTTTGACGAGTGGTATGATCACGCCCAAGACTGCTTTGTACTGCGTTGCCACGGTATTATCGAAATATTTGCCGAGTTGTACTGGTGTGTGCCGAACCGTTTATTCGTCGGTCGCGGGGTCGCCAGCCAGTGAAAAGGCAGAGAGGAGGTTGGTATAACCGTGGGGGGCGAGCGAGGATGATCAACCACAATAACATTCATCGGCCGACCAGCTGATCGTACTGCGACATCTTTTTGGCTTCGGCAACATTTTGCATCAACTTTACCGCGACAGTTCCAACTTCCCATAATCATGTAGACCGTCGCCGACATCGTCAGCAACAGAGAGAGATGAAATTCGCCAGTGGCCCCTCGACAACAGCATCTATCTCGGTACTCTCCGAATATCCACATGTGCACCACAGGAGGTGGAGCAGCGAAGAAGTTTCTCGTCAAGTTCAAGCCTAACAAGGGTACGGTGTCGCATGATATGGTGGCGTGGGAAGCTCTCTGTGGCTACAGAAAATACCGCAAAACCCTTGACGAAGAAACTTATGGGTATAGACTATGGCCACGGCCGGCCAACGATCAACCAAAGCCGACCAAGATCCAGGCGTTTGTCGCAAGAAGTGTCGGAGTTGCGAGATGAGCTACAAGAAAAGGGAGCATCGCAGGACATGTGCACTCTGGATACAAGCACGAAGCCGAAACCAAGGACGATCTCAGTCTTGAGCGAGCTTGGTATGTATGGTGTGCGTCCCTTCGTGGGTTCAAGATGTACATGATGAGTAGGCGGCTGTCAGTGTATTGAGTGGTTACAATACTACAGCAGCGCTCCGGATACTTCGCATATCGTCTGATACGGCGCGCAAGCAGACCAAAACCCTCTGTGTCATTGTTGCATGTGAGTACCCCAACGTGCCGTTGTCGGGGGTTGAACGCAGCCCCCTCTGTCAACGTTGCTGTAGGGCTGTAGGGTGACCACTGCGTGGATCTCGCCGCTTTTTTCATGGGTTCCCGGGGGGGGACAAGTTCCCGTTGGGGGCTTTTTTATTCGCGGCCAGCGAGGAAATTTCCAAATGAACCAAACAGAAATTTCGCCGGGCAAAGAACGCCTCAAAAAGGTTATCTACTGTACCGTGAATAATAGCAGTGTCAAAACGAACACGCCAGAAACAACCGCTTTTGTGCTAGCTGCCCACTTCAGCAGAGGGGAAACACCCTCACTTACACCGTGAAGCACAGGTTGTATGTGTCATCCGCCGAGCCTTCTGTGGACGCAACGCTCTGTTGTCCCTTGACCTCCATTTGCTTGATCATGGCGTCAGTTAGTTCTTCCATCCTCTATGACAACACCTCCGAGCACAAGAGAAGGCTTGCGGGAAAACTGATCTACTCCACGGGCTCGCTAGGTGAGCGAGATAGGAGGCGCCCTGCCGATGAAGGAGGCTTCCACGTTACCTGAACATGTGTGAACCAGCACCAAGTACACACCCCGCTTGTCGTTGATTTCTACTTGTAGTCTGTCTCGTCATCGCAGTAGTAGCTAGTCTAGAACGGTGTGGACTAGGCACATTGCTGCTGTAGACCTACCTTCTCTCTCTGTAGACTACATGGACTGCACCTCGTCCTTGCAGACGGCGGTGGGGCGGGAGCTAACGTCATAGCTGGGTATGTCGGTGGTTGGGAAGCTTGTGTGTCAGGTCTTCCTCTGCATTGACGAACGACAAAGAAGGCAACCGGTATACCTATACCGCAGAGACGGCCGTTAGCTCTACATACGCGGGCGGTGTGTTCGGTTTACAAGGGGGGCGAGGGAGGGCGTCCGACCGCGACGAGCGACGGATAGAATGCGGCGCGATGAGGCCCAACACCGCCCGAACGACCCAACCCAGCCCAACCAACCAAACCCATCATCCCGACCCCACCAACCCGACGACCACCCCGAGCAACTCATGACCGCCCAATACGGCCCAACCTCCTCAGCGCCAAAACCCAACCCAACACATAGTCTAACCTCGACCTCAACCGCACGTCAATCAGCAGGTGTAGCTATGAAATTATGCTGCAGTACTGCAACAGTAGACACGCACACTTTGCACGACCCGCCCCAGCCTGAACCCAAACCTGTGTACGTTGTATACAGTCTAGAAGGAGTACAGTCTGCACGACGCGTCGACTACCCTTTTCCCTGACGGCTACAAGCAGTGTGTCGAACACTCGTTGCGCCGCGACCGTGCCTCAGCGGGTCGGGGGACACAGCGCACAGCAGCTTGTGTGCCTTGCTCTCTCCCTCCACGCGAAAGAAGCGGGGACAAACACACTTTTCCACCGGCAAAGAAGAGCCAACCTGGCGACAAAAATTGCGCAGCAAAACATGAAAATATACCCACGAGGTTCGCGATCTCAAGTAGAAGCAGTAAAAACAATCGGGGCCGAAGGGGTATTTAGTCAGAGGAGAGACCGCATTGCGCACGATCGCGGGTAGTGTGCGGCTGATCGAGCTCATGCGCGCTGTCTGGTTCACTTATAAAAGAGGCATGAACTGGTGTGCGAACAGACTGTCTGTGGCATCCCCAGCGACTGGCTCGGTCTCGGCACTTTTTTACTATATTTTGTCAGTATAATTTAAGACCCAACGAATCCACCTCTATAGATAGATTAGCCATGGATCCATGGCGTCAGCGAAAGTTCTGTTTTTCCACGATTTCCCGAGCAGGACACAGCGTGAACAAATAGTACTTCGTACCAGGTACGTGCAGTCCACCTACCCCCACAATCTATCTTGTGTACTTCCGACGACAACGTTGTCAAAAAGAAGCAACGACAAGTCTGTTTGATGGCGTGGCCGCGCGGGGATCAGAGGGTTGGCATGGATCGGAGAGTTAGCACGGAGAGTTTTCACGGGGGTACGATCGATTGCGAGCACAGTAGTAGTGAGAAACGAGCGCACGGTGGTGCCAACTCTCCGAAATGTTACTGGTAGTTGCGGTAGTCTACAGTAGTAGTGGCATTTTTGGTGGAAGCTTCCATGGAAACGGTGTTCTCAACCGTTCCATCCACTGGAAGCTTTTCCATCACTTCCATAGAAGTTTCCAACACTTCCACAGACACCACAGTAAGCCAAAGTGATGAAAGTCGCGCGCAAGGTCACCGTCAGGGACTCTTGACGCCAGTTTTCTGCGTCAAGTTTCGCCAACAGTCGGCGCCGTTTGTTTGGAGGCCCCACCCGGGGTTAAAACGGGAGGCCACGCAGAAGTTGCTTCGTTTCTGAACCTTTTCAAACAGTGTTGAGAATCGCACATGGTCGTTCCTCCAAAGAACTGGTGGCGAGATCGTGCGGTAGGCCTGGAAAAGGTGGTTGTAGGATGCGGCGTGGGGCAATCGTGCGCCCGACCGTCGTCGTCGTACTCACGCGCTTTATCCACGGGTGGGTATGCAGACAATTTTTCAGTAAGGAGAACCTTCCTCGCACGGACAGGTTCCGCGCGCGCTGCCCCTGGTACCCCACTGTTCTAGTCTGTCCGGTGGTTCGAACGGACAACGGGGGCGAGCACGTAGATATTCCCGCGACCCAATACTAGCCGTTTCGGTCTTTGCTCTGACGATGTCTCCCTCGCTCTTTCCCCCTTGTTCTCCAGTCGCGGCGGTAGTCGCGGAGATCGTCGTGCTCAACCTTATAATTGAGGTTGCTTCAACCCTCACGGCTGTTGACGACTGGGGGGCCGACACAAGGGAGGCGATGATTAAGCTCGAGCAGGTACGAGGTGTTTACTACCGTGGTGTATGGTGTCCTTGGTTGACGTGTTCTCCGGCGGTCGGCGATCGCTTTTAACACAACCTGCATGCGATCAGTGTAGAGGGTGCCTAGACTCCGCTCAAGAAGGTTGTTCATGTCTCGCCGAGATGTTGTGCTAATGATTCTACCCCTCTCTCAGTTTCTCTTTGCCGTTCCCTTCCTGCCGCTACTTTCCCTTTCGCGTGGCGAACCGGCACGTACGCAATCTATCTAGGCCTTCTCCGAGAGGAAATCACAGATTTCCCATGCGGTTCTCTTCGGGAGTCTCATATCGGGCCTGCTGTTCGTCGTCATGGCCTTCATCATGGGTGTCACTGCTCGATTCGTGGCTGGCGGGATCGTGGGTCCGATCAACCAACTTATCGACGTCGTGCACTCCCTTTACAGGGTGGATTTCTCGCGGCAGGTAAAATCCCGGCTGCGTCTGTCTCGGCCAGGTGCCTCATCGCTGCCTTGTGGTTGGTTGGCGAAACGTCCCGCGTGCTCTGTCCCGATTTTCCAAGTCTTCGTTTTTGAAGCTCCACTCACAGTTGCTATGTACCCTGCGGTCGCCTTCTCCGCTGAAGGGCTCTGATCCAGGGCCATGAGTGTCTTATTGGGTGCATGCCACATGCATCACGCAAGGGTTTCAGAAAGTGTTGCTCCCACGCGTAATCACCAAACCATGCAGAGGATGCGCGATGACACCAGACCAGTTGAGGAGCGCAACGCACTAAGAGACTCACGATTCGCTGTGAGACTCGACCTCGAGGCTTCGACCTCGAGAAGGCACACGATGTTTTCAAGAGAATCCCCACGGCCTTCGGCCGCGGGGTCCCGTTGTATCATCTCCGCCAAACATGTTGTTGTGCATGCACACACACACACCCGTATCGTAAGTATCCACCGGTGAGCTGTGTTTATTCCACAACACACGCGCGGGGGTGGTGACTCCCGGTGATTGAAGAGCCACCACAGAAGTGAGTGCCCACGTCATCATCCTTCCGACGTTTGCAGGCGCTCCTGCACAAGCAGTATGTCCACGTCGTCATTTGATGCCGGCGTCAATAATCTCGCAAACGCTCCTTTCACGCGTGTATGCGTGCGCATGCTTGCTGCGTGGTACAGGCGTCAGGGACTTGGATGGAGGCAAGGGACTCAGAAAATCCGGACCAAGCCAAGGCCCTCGCGGAAGCGACGCAGGACAGTTTTGCCGACACCGTCACAAACTACGAGCTCGCCTTCAATTACGCCGAGAGCACGCCGTTGTACAAGAAGTTTAACGGCTACGTCATGGACCTCAAGCTTGCCCTCGCCTTCGCCGATACGCTTTGCCCAGCCACGAATATTGCGGCCGGGTTCCTGCACTGGGACTCGCAGACAACGGTGAGGAGTCGGTGACCTGGTACATGCGCTGTGAGACGCTCCACTTGGCCTTCACGAACCCAAACAATTATCGACTTGTTCTACAAAACCACCCTGTGTATGTTACTCTTTCTTTTGATTGCTAGGGTGGCCCTTTCAACAGCAATGAATGCCCCGTTAAAGAAACGTGGCGGCCAACCCGCCCATTAGGCGGGACGGCCACCTGATGGAGGTGAATGGCCGGCCGCCCATTATGCGGGACGGCCATCGGGAGGTAAAGACGATGAACGAAAAAATAGAGAGTGAGAATAATTGGAAGTGGGAGGATCTGTGCCGTACATAGGAAAAACATGAAGTATATCATGACGTGTGAAAGGGAAATTGAAGAAAAAAAGGCCTGGTAGCTGGCGGAAATAGACGACGGGCGGCAAAAGAAGGCCAGCGGAAATAAATGTGATGGAAATGGAAGATGTAATAGTAAAGGATATCTTGTCGGCACCATAGGTAGGTTCGTTTTTAACAGAAAGACGCAATGCCTCACAAAATTCGCAGAGGACAACAAATGAGGGCCAAATAATATTTCCAGCGCTTGATCTTCCACGCGGTAAGCACAGAAATTTGTCCGATAACAACTTAATGACTGTGTTTGCGAGTGGACCTTTGAGAATTAAATCTTCAATCGTACGGCATTCGCTTCGTACAAACAGCCCACCGCGTGCGTTGCGATGCATAACCGAAGTGGCAAATGTCGAAATATTAAAATGAGACAAAAAAAAAGAGTACGTAAGTTTAAGAGACAGCCTAACTAAATGAAGACGGAAACATGTAGTAATCCTTCATGAAAGACAAGAAGAGAGGGTACACGGAAGGAAGAAAAGCTCTATATATTTACGTCCGTACGAGTATACACAGGAAATGAAAAAGAAAGAGAGACACGAAAAAAAGTAGAACGTCGCACAGAATGTGCTAATAATACATAACTTGCACGTCATCCGACGACTGCTCGCCGTCTTGTTCGCGTTCATCCGAGTCAGAAGAGTCAGAAGAAGAGGCTTCGTCGTCGTCTTCGTCTTCGTCTTCGTCGTCGTCTTCATCTTTATCGTCGTGGTCTCCGTCGTCGTCGTAATCGTCGTCGTCGTCGTCGTCGTCGTCGTTGTCATCACTACATAGACGAAGCCGCTGACTCGGCGCTGCCGCTGTCGGCGGAGTAGAAATAAATGATTTCTACAGGGGCCAGCGTATAGGTTTCTTGGAGGCCGCCTTGCGCTTTTTTTGTAGTAGGCGGGAAGTCCCAGGGATCGTCGTCGATCCTCTCCCTCTTGATGTATGTGCGGGCGGACGTCGCCCAATGCTGAGAGTTGCCGCGCCCAAAGTTAGTTAGGATAGAGGGCATCACCACCACCACGGTGAGTCCTGCCTCGATCTGATGGTCCGGGTGCGAAATGAATGAAGTAAATGTTAACGTTGTTAGTATTTCCGGCAAAGTTGCGCCGGATAGTCCGCCAGATTTTTTTTTGTTCTCTAGAACTTGCTGTAGAACAGAAATAAAATAGAAACGAGCGGGTGCCACAACGTTTTTGACTCACTCCAATGCAAACATGTGTTGAAAGAGAGTATATTGTATATATATCCCTTGAACGCGCCATCATCTTGAATGAATGCTTAGTTTTGTTTTGATATTTGCTCATCAGATGCACACAGAGCATGTACGTACACACACACACGTGGTAGACTGTAACACGTGCAATGATTTTTTCTACAGCGCGAAGAAGCACTGCACATATGCGGGCAGATTTATGCTCCGGACCAGCTGTGTGTCCCATGGGCGCTTAGAATTAATTCGTTCGTTTTTCTCTCACCCATGTTGGGAGCCTGGAAATGATCTTCTTGTAGTGCAACCAACAAGAACAGCAATCGAGGACTTCGCCCTTCTGTAGAAAAGTTCGGGGTCGCCAGGGACAAACTAAGGGTGCTTTGGGTACGGGCTGTCTGTGCAACCATCTATCTATCTATCTATCCGCACACTGTGGCGGGCTCCCACACAATCTTGTATATGGATTCACTGTTATAAAAGTGAATATTTGACTGTTATAACAGTGAATTGACTGTTATAACGGTCGGCTCACTCCTATAACAGTCATCGTTATTTCACTGTTATAACAGTCAGTTCATTCACTTTCATAAGAGTCAGCTGACTCTTATGAAAGTGAGGTGTCAGTTCAAACATTGTTATAACAGTCAGCTGACTCTTATGAAAGTGATGTGGGTGCACATTACTAACAGTCAGTTTGGGGACTTTTATAAAAGTGAAACGACTGTCAGCTGACCATTATGAAAGTGAGGTATCAGTTCAAACACTGTTGTTACAGTCAGCTGACTCTTATGAAAGTGAGGTGGGTGCACATTACTAACAGTCAGTTTGGGGACTTTTATAATAGTAAAACGACTGTCGTGCAAGTCACCTTTAACAGCCAGGCGGTAAAAATGACTTTGATTTTGGAGCAGTTCTGCAGCTCTCATCAAGAAACGGAACGATGGGACGAGCACATACTTGCCCAAGCGCATCATTGCATCATAGAAATATGCAACTTCAGTTACAGGTTCCAGGCGCATGACGTGACGAAGGTAATTGCGATATGGCGATCCTCGGGCAGGAAAGCCCGTACGTGTTGTGCACCGCATAAATAGGACGAACCCCCAGTGCAGCTGGAACGATTCTCACGTGTGTGTACGGCTGGTTCACCTAGGTTCGCACATACCGCGAGCAAGACGTGAAGGGATAAAGGCACACTACACCCGCCGACAACACCTTTGATACCATCGCGGGCCTTCCTCCGACGACGCAAATGAACCCCACGGCAGATGAACAACCTCGACGAAGGTCGTTGAGTGAACCACTCAACCTGTGACAGTAACCACTCAACCCGTGACAGTAGGTCTCTGTCGGGGGTCCTATCCGACGATCGGTGAATGCCAATCTAGACCCGCAAAAACAACGGTGAACTGCTGACCAAACGCAAAGGTTACACCACAACCAGAACATGTACAGCATCTCTCCACCACCGATCTCAACCATCGAAGTTAGGGTGCTGGCTCATCAGTTTGGACCTGAGAAGGGTCTCATTCCGAACAAGGATGGCGTGGTTGAGGAAGAAGTCCCTCAGCACTTGAGGCATCTGTTTGACGACGACCCCAAAGCCTAGAAAAGCAGGGGAAAAGCATGGCAGCAAAAAGAAACAAAAACACGACGTTGGCGCAAAAATCGGTCTTTTGATGGTGTGGGCGTGCATGTTGGCAAGACAGTCGGAAGACAAGAGACAGACCAGATCGCACAAGAACATGTATACCCTGGACGTTTCGTGTGTGCTGTCTCGCATTAATGAAAACACCCTGTTGTGCCGTCGCCAGGGAAACGCCAAGTCTCTGTCATGAAAGTGAGAATCACTTGTTACAAAAGTGAACTAACTGTTGTAAAAGTGAACCAACAATTATAAAAAGTGAACTCTTTTTTCGGGGTCAACACAAAAGACAAGAGGGCGGGTGAGCACACATGTACATTTTGACGCTCTACCTTCAAGCCAGCTGTTGCTGCTTTCCGCCCAACTTGAGTTCCACCGAAATTCTTCCTGTCCTTCGGGGCTTGTCCACCAGAGCGTGGAATCGTCGCGGGCCTCCGGTGAATTGATGATAGCGCAGTTAATCTGTCACAGTATATCGCAACACGAGTCCCAGGGCACGAGGCAATCGAAGTTACATGACGGGGTGGCGAAGCAAGGTTAGCTACCGTAAGCATCGGGGTCCCCGCACATGTCGGTCGGGGTCTCCGCACAGGGTGCGCGGAGAAAAGCGAGTTCCAAATATTGAATTGACTTTCCGCACAGGTATCGCGGTCTCCGCACGCCTTTGCAATCAGAATCTGACCAGGACTTTTCAAAGGCGTCCGCACATCCGATACTTACGGTAGTCAAATTAAAGTTGGAACATTGTTTCCCATGCGTTCACTGTAGAAGGAAATGTCACTCGTACCTCATTGTGAGACCGAAAGTGGAATCTTGAGGACGCCACAGCAAGAGGAAGCCGAAGATCAATGACCATGACAAAAGGGGTTGGCGGAACACACGAAAGCGGCAGGGAAACGTTAGCAGTGGTACTTGTAGGTCGCCGTGTAGGTCGCGGTCAGATGCAGCGGTTGGGCTAGGACCCGGTTCGCGAACAGGTTGATAAGCGGTCACAAAACATGACAGGCAAGCCCCACGTGAAGTAGCAATGACCAACTACAGAGGTACAACACAACCGCTATTGGTATTGGTCCCCTACCTGGAGCTCAGCAAAACGAGTAGACACGTCATCGGTGGCACGGGAAAAAAGGGAACTAACAGTTACATATAACAACCTGTCCACGATATAGCGACACATCAGCCAGCCCAGGTGAGGGTGCCAGAGGCGGTATTCCAGGAGCCGGCACGCGAGGCCGTAAAACAGGATTCCAGGCCTGGAGAGAGGGTCAGGCCACATTAGATCCAAGGCCGCGCACACGCACTCCATGCCCTCGTGAGCTGCAAGAGCAGAGATTCCCGAAATAATACCGCAGTTGCGGGTGCCCACCAGATGACCGTATGAGTTGCGCCTTGAAAACATCACTCGCAAGAGTTTGATGTCGTCAGGCTGGGTGGACCGGCAGCAACAGCGAATATCGACGGGTCAAAACAAAGTGTTGTTTTTCGAGCGGAACGAGACGTTCAGTAATCGGCGCTTCAGCACAAGCAGGGATGGACACAACATGCAAACTCTCTTTGCCGTTCAACATATTTGACCAGGTTCAGGTCATGCAAACTCTCTGTGCCGTTCAACATATTCTACCAGGTTCAGGGTTGTACGCATGTACGCATGTACTACCGCCGTCGGACTCGAGGCCGCTATTCACGAAAGGAAAGGCAAACCTTTTTGGGGACGAGTCATAGGTTCCTCGAAGGCGATGGCACGCCGATAGACAGACACACGCCCTGCTGGTTGAAAACATCACAAACACCAACAGATTGTATAAGTTGTGTACCAGTAAGGGCGTACGCCGGACATACCTCCACTTCGATGCCAGCAGCCCGCATCCTTTGCTTGCGCCGGTAGTCTCCGAAGTTGTTGAAAATTTTCCACCGCCTTTCCATGTCAGCGAGTTCTGCGCAGGCCAAGCTCCCATCCTCATGGTCGTTGAGGCTCTCGGGGGAGGTAACGGCGCAGCGATGTTCGTAGATAGGAGCGTGGTGCTCGCAAAACCTTTGGTTTGGTAGACAACAGGCGGGGGCGGCAGTGTCGGTTGCGACGGCAAGGATGGGGGCTTAATTCGCAGGATGCAAGTGCTGGGAAGTGCAGGCTGTAGTAGTCGACATAAGAGACGGCGTTCGAGGCATGCATGCACGCCTACACGTCAGACGTGCGAATAACAGGGTACACACCGTTCAAGGAGAGTGGCATAAGGGAATACAGATAACACGAAACATGTGAAACGATACAGTCTAACAACTTACTTAGCCTAGTGTTGGACTTGCTGCAACCGCCAAAAGATAAACTGCTTACCGCCGAAGCGCGCAACGGAGCTCATGAGCGACAGCAAACCACCGATACATGTCTGAAATACGTCGCCCTACCAACAGCATCGCGCGAAGCGCAACCGGGAATTTCGGAGTACCTGTTAGGTATGTATTCATGACGTACACTCGCAAATCGGCGACGTACCCGATTTCGTACTCCTCACCTGGCCCCACTGAGGTTGGGCAGATCATGGGGGCACTCATGCACCGCACAGCAGGGCGGCAGAGGTCGCAGCTGTGTCTGTGCCAAGCCACGTTCTCCCAGAAACCCTCGTTTTGATCCGCCATCAACTCACGGAGACCCTTCCAATGATTTGACCCGCTTTGTTCCCCGTCGATGTCTCGGACCCATACCAACCGTGGGTTCCCCACGACAAGGGTCAACCCTTCCGGCGGGAAGGTTAGCCAGGGACCTTTGTCGCAATAAATCGCACAAGGAAGTCAGGGGAGCGCAGTCAAGCTGCAGCAATACGGAAAGCAGGGAATAGTGTGCAATGAGCATCATCCAACGATGGCGAAGCAAAGGGAAAACAGCTTCGAGTGCGATGGACAACCAAAACTAGCCACATTTGGTGGTCCCGTTTCATTCGGATGCCAACAAGGTACACCAACACGGCACCACCGTCTATCCGCCAACACAGCGAGTGCTCTACGCTGTGAAACAGTCGAGACGGGTACTGGCATGCGTATCCCAGCAGTGTTGTGATGGCCACGCCCGCGACAATGCAATGCAGATACGCACCTACGCCTTGCGCCATTTTCAGAGTCGCCAGGAGCGACCAACACTCCAGGAGCGTGTCAACCGCCAGCGGCGGCGATCCGTGCCCTCGATAACGCAAGACTGTATCGTTGTAGACGTTGCAGATGGCAGTGAAGCCGACTCTGGTTGGGGGGGTTGTTTGACATGAGGTCAGCGACAAAATGAGGGGATACGAGAAACTAGGGGGTACGAGGGGACAGTGTCAGCGGACGTCAACGCAGTGTCAACGATAGAAATAAAAGCTTGCAGGCACAGGCAAGGGACGAGTTTGCGAGCGAGGGGGGATAGCTGCACAGTGGGACAAAAGTTATGCCGAACAAAAAACGCA